GACTCAGTCTATAAAGAAGAAATTCAGTGCAAGGGAGGAGCTCTGTGTTTATTTTACAACAAATATACTAGCAGTTGGAGACTAGGCCTCACTTTTGTCATTCTTGCTGGCTCATGGCTCATCATCATCTCAAAGTAAACCTATTTTTGTTGGGATTTTTTTGGCTTGGTTTGGGGTTTTTTTGTTGTTGGTTGGTTATGTTTTTTTTTGTGTGTGTCAGCCGTTTTTGGTCTGTTTTTTTTTAATTTTACTTTATGACTGCTTTTCTGAAAATGAAATGACTGCACTATCCTGTGCGTTTAGTACTTGCAACAAGGAGAGATTCTGGCTTTGCCCCAAACTGTGTACAGTCTGGATACTTTTACAGTGAACATCTCTGGAGCAGTGAGGAACATTTTTGTGAGGATGACAGAGAATGTCAGGCTAAAGCACTATAAATAATTTATAGTCCTCAGATAATTGTCCTGTGAAAGTTTCCAGTGCTCCCAGTTTCTTCCTACCACCCCTATTTTCAGCTATCATTTATAGAATCTTGACTTAATATTGTTAATTGCATAGTAAACAGAACAATATTGTTTGGCCCAAGACAGATTACCATTTCTTATTACAGAATTCACATAGACCACAAATCATTGATACCATCTCCACCAGTTATAATAAAGTTTATCTTCAATCTGATAAAAAGCATGTACTGTTGCTCTTATTGTAAATGGTTTAGAACCATGCTTTTTTAAAAGCTGGGTAGTTCATTGAAGTTACAATTCTGCATTTGCCCTAGCAAAGAGAGGTGGGAGTTGTGGACATACATGGTCTGATTTCCAAGCATGACTCTGTGGGTACAGGGTGTGCAGTTGCACATGGCAACTGATGAACCTCTTACCATTGCCACCTAAACAGTAAGTCCTACTATCCTGCACTTATCAGTATCTGTGCTTGAACCCATTCAGTGCGTTATGTACTTGCATCTTTAGCTTACTCATAATTTAAGTGCATGTAGATGCTGTAAGAAGGTTTATCTCTTCAGTTCAAGTTGCACAGATTCTTAGTGGGCTGAAAGGTTCTGCGTCAGTCCCCAAGACAAGCAGTTAAACCTGTACCACTGTGAGCACAGCCACTGAGTCACAGAATCACAGACTCTTTTGGGTTGGAAGGGATCTTAAAGCTCATCCAGTTCCAACCCCTTGCCACAGCCAGGCACACCTTCCACTAGAGCAGGTTGCTCCAAGCCCTGTCCAACCTGGCCTTTAACACTGCCAGGGATGGGGCAGCCACAGCTTCTCTGGGCAACACATCACCCCCATAGTCCTGGCTGAAAACCACCTTTCAAGTGTTCTGCACAAAGCGTCTTCCGGCAGTGCATTTCCAATCTTCCCTGGTGAATTTAGGCACTCTTGGGGGATATTCTTTTAGCCCTACATGTTTTTATGTCATAAGTTCTACAACAGAAGCATCTGGGTCACTGCGTAAGTATTATTAAAGACAAGACTGGCCCAAATGTTATTGGCCACTGATGAATTTTGCATTTTGATACCAGTTTCTTGTGATCAGGCTCAGCCAGCAAGATCAGCTCTAAATATAAACTTTCTCAAAGCCTAGCTCTGCTGCTTATGCAGGGTAGTGCTAGTTTGGGAGGGTTCCTAAAATTGGGAAATTTGGATATTTTTTTTTTTCTTTTTGAAGTTTAGGGACTTTATAAGACAACTGAAAATATTTTACAAGTCCATCAGGGTTTGAATAGGGGTGTGTGAAGTTGTGACTGAATCAGGTTCTAGTGTGATTCTGTGGGGAAACAAGGATTCAGCAGGATTCTTCCAGAGTTGAACCCCAAACTCATTAAAATATTACAATAAAGTAATTAATGCACATGGCCACTAGACACTCTTAAAATGTAAATTTCACAGCTGTAAGAAATTAGATTTGTTTAAAAATAACAGAAGGCTCAAGTACAAATTACGGAGTAAAAGCCTATAAAATTTCAAACTTGGTTTTAAGGCACAACCATTTATTATTATTTTTTTTTTAAACTAGATCCTTTACTTCAATGATAGCATGCAGCAACTGAATTCCTTGTCTGCCTTTCCCTCGGAAGTTGAGGTGTAGTCACCTTTTTTGGCTGGCACAAGTGTAATTTGACCAATTTGAGTAGTTCCTAGAAGTCAATGCCTGTCTGGGGGGGGCCCCCCCCCCCAATAAATCTGTGGAAAAGAGACTAAGAATCATAGAATGGTTTGGGTGGGAAGGGACCTTAAAGCTCATCCAGTTCCCACCCCTGCCACAGGCAGGGACACCTTCCACAAGACCAGGTTGCTCCAAACCCCGTCCAACCTGGCCTTGAACATTGCCAGGGATGGGGCAGCCACAGCTTCTCTGGGCAGCCTGTGCCAGTGCCTCAGTACTCTCACAGTAAAGAACTTCCTAATATCTCATCCAAATCTACCTTCTTTCATTTTAAAACCATTCCTCCTTGTTGTGTCACTACAGGCCCCTATAAAACGTCCCTCTTCTGGTTTCTTGTAGCCCCTTTGGTACTGGAAGACTACCCTAAGCTCTTGACTGAGCCTTCTCTTTTCTTCTCTAAACCAACTCTGTCAGCCTGTCTTCATAGGAGAGGAACACTAAAGACAAAATAAAAGCTGCTCCAGAGTTCAGGACTGATGAAGCCAACTGGATTTTGCAAGGGATGTAATGTACATCTTTTCAGTGCAGAGGCTAATTTCAAATTCTCCAGCACTTTCTCACCCATTGTGTTTACAAACATGGGTCGTACTATAATGCAAGAAAAGGCTTTGACTAACAAACGTCCAGCAGCAAATTTCAATCTGTTTACATTTGAAATGATGCTGAAATCTAGGGTTCCACAATGGCTTCTTGGTACACCAGCTTTAGCAGAGCACTGACATGGTTGAAGGAAGGAATTCTGGTCAGAATATGTTCCATATGAATCTTGTTGGAGATCCATTTCTAAATGTATGCTACGTGCCTAACTATTAAAAAGTTCAGATTATGACCCCTCTAATGTTATTTTAATGCTAGTTTTTAAAATGTAATTATAAATCAAATTACATTTGAGATCTGAAGCTGACAGTAGTGAGCTGTAACACTCCAAGAGCCGCTTTAAAAATAACCCCTCTCAAACTTTATTAGGGATTTCAGACAGAGGAGTACAAGTGGACTGGCCAGATTCACCACACTGTTTTTGTCTGAGACAGGGCAACTTGCAAAATGTCAGCTGTTTTCTGGCTTACACAGATGTAATGTAGAATCTTTCATCTTTACCTGGAAATAGCACTTCCCAAGTTTTAGTTTCTTTGAGCTTAAGCAAAATAATGCAGGATCTCATCTGAACTCTATTTCATGCTTTCTTTTTTCGTTCTTTACCATAAAAAATTTCTCTAAAAATTAAGATTTCTAAACACTGAACAGTAACCAAAAAAAAAAAAAAAAAAAGAAAAACCCAGCTAAAAACAAAACAAAAACCCAGCTAAACTGCAGGCCATCATTTGGCCAAGTGCAAAATGGTAGCTCAATTGTAAGACATAAATGTACTTAAGACTGTCATTGTGTTGGTCAATGGCAGCTGCTCACCTGGGTGAAGGTATGTATGCATTTGGAAAAAAGGGCTGGAAAACCCTAAAACTATAAATAACTATATATTTTTTTTTCCTTTTCTTTTAGAAATGTAGATGTCTGCATGAGATAATCCTGTAACTGGCCTAAAAACTGAACTAATTCAGAAAGATAGTGAATTAAAATCTATATAGAATTAAAATTTCCATTTATGTAGCTGTAGTTTATGGAGGGAAGGAAGAATAAGTAAGTAAATCTGAACCACAACTCTTAAGTGGCTCCTCAGATACATTTTTGAGTTTTTCTTTTCTTGTGAGTGTGGAAAGTAGGTATTCAGAATTCAGTATTCAGAACTCCTCAGTGAATAATACATTTTAAAAATCTGTATTTGTAAAGTTTTTTTTGTTGAGATTATTTATAAATTTAGATTCATAGCTGGTTACCTAAATCATGTTATTTCTTCTGTTCCCTCATGGCCTGAGTTACGTATTTACTTGATTCAATACACAATGTAAATTGTGAGTATTACAGATGAACATACATCTCAGAATTTTTGTTTGGTTGCTCAGTAACATTAATCAGCCCATCAGAAGAGGGAGGGGACGTACCACATGATTTATTTAAACAGCTAATACTTTGAAATTTTGCGATTGTATGTCTAGAAGTATACATTTTGACCACAGTGCATAGATTATATAAATTGAGTGGCATTATTTCTGTTTCCTGATTAATGGTTGATGCTGTTCCATCTACAGAATGAATGTCAAATTCAAACTTCAATTTGAAATTTGAAGTCAATGAATATTTAAGCATTCATTCTAGATGTTGACTGTGAAGACATGCTAATATTGGTACAGCACATATGTTCCAAGTTTTGCAGACAGACAAAACCAGAAAGCAGTTATGTATTCCTAGTGCTGTTAACTCAAAGTTTGACTTTGAACTAGTGTTTTATACTCTTTACTCAGCTCTCATTTTTACCCTGTTTTGCAGATGAGGAAACTGAAGCAAAGAGGTTAAGGGATCTCTTCTGGGTCATCGAGTTTGTTGATGCCTGTCCCCTCTCCCTTGACATGTGCACAGGCTACTAGACTTCACTGCTGTGGCTGCAGCAGGTAAGATGGATTGTATATTCAGTGTGATTAATTCTTGAATTGACTTAAGCATTTCCCAGAAAGGTGAGTGGCTCCCAAATATCTAGATGTGAGATCTCTATTCTGGATGAATCTCTGAAAATACTGTGAAACAGACTATTCCCTAATGCAGACACAAAAATCATGGATGCAATGGTGTGTCAACTAATAGCTAAATAAATACCTTTTTTTCCTTCTGCAAATAATATTCTTTAAGGGAAGGAGACCAAAAAAACTGTAACTTAGGATGCTTTTTTTTGGTTGTAAAGACGATAGTAGCAGATGAGAATATGGATGTGACAGAGTATGTTGGACTTTGTTCAGAATTGTGTAGGCTACATTTATAATGCAGTGGCTACAGCCCTCCCTTGCAGGCACAGTCATTTAGAAAGCCTAACAGGGCAGTACTGTTGTAGCACATGGAGAGCCAGCCCTTCAGTTTCTTAGAAAGCTTTTGGCACCCGAGCTAGCCAGTCAAAAGCATTCAGGAGTTGCAGTTGCCCGAGGGAGTGCAGTGCAGACATACACAAAGTTTTTGCTCTCTAATACTGAAAGCAAAAACTTCCTGATCGTGGTTAAGATTTACATGAATAAAGATCATCAGATTTTATCATGTGAGTAGAGAACCCTAGAAAGGTCCTGGACTTGAATGGAAAGGGCACTGGTGTAATTCTTTTCAAGGTGACTGCTGGGATCCTGTCACCTGTTCTCATGGAGTGAGCTGACTTTCTCATAAGAGTATGGGTAACACAGTTTACCCACAGATTTGTCCAGATTCATTTAGGAAGTGACATCAAAGCTGTGTGCCAAATCTCTAAGCAGTGCAGGAGTCACGCCAGGGGGTAGAGTCAAAATCACTGTGTGTTGACAGACTGCTAGCCTTTCCTCCTGAACGTGTGACATCAAAGATGGAGAATTTGTAGACAAGTAGAGAGCAAAAAGATTGCTGCCTTTCATGAGTTTCTTTTCTGCCTCTTTTCTTTGCTAGGCATAAACTTCAGCATTAGGTGGTGGTTATGTCTGTAGGAGGAGGCATGAGCTCAAACAGAAGGTCTGGCCAAAGATGCCTCTGTGAAAATACATTCTCACCAGAGCTTCTCTTGGAAGAAACTGGTGACTGGCAGCCACGTTCCTAACGTCTCCTCCAATGAGGAGACAAATTTCTTTCCCAAGACTGTAGCCCTGAGCATCAGGTGACAAGGTGGGGTTCAGTAAGATCTGATACCTGTCCAGTAAGTATTTTATTTAAGGAAATGCATGGTATTTCTAGATAGTTCCCAGATGAGATGAGTTATAAGGCTGCAGCTTAGCTGCACTGTATTTTGCAAGTATTGCCCTCCTACAAGTTGGGAGAATGCAACCCAGCCACTGCTACCACTTCGTAGTTGCATGGTTTGGCCACATTCACCTGGACTGACTGACTGAAGCAAATGAGGTTTATTTTGGAAATGTATTTCTGCATAGTGCACAAATGCTTAGAGGAATGGTCTTAAGGCTGCAGTGGGGTTAGTCAGATGCTTGTAGTTAAGTGTGTGCTGAAATACTTTGCTGTGTATAAAGTTCTTCAGTTTTTCCTGTATGATGTAAACTGATTTCACAAAAGTGTAACTGTATCGTTGGTTTTAGAAGAATGCAAAGTTTACCTATGCACCAAGTAGGTGGGTAGGTTCCTTATTTACTTTGTTAAATTGCTGAATAGCCAATTCTGGATTTAAGAATTTATTTTATTTTTTTTTTCCCTACATGACTTTCTCTTCTATCAGTGTCCACTAAAAAGTTATGTCCAGAATTTCAGAATTATTATTTTCTCATACCCAGCTAAGGATTCACACAAAATAAGTCTGCGTGTGCTCTCCCTCCTCTGGTATGCAATCTAGTCTATATTTAACTCCGTACATACACAGTGCAAAGAATCATAGCGTAGCAGCTGTTTGGTGGTGACAACGTAGGTATACAGTCACAAAAGAGCTTAAGATAATTGCTTAAATGACGACATCTGCAAAATGCTAATCTTCCTGTGAAGGGTCCCCCTGCAACAGGCGACATGAGCATTTTTATGTTCTGCGTTTGCTGCTGCCATGCACTTAATTCTGTTCAAACCGTATCAAGGAGACTTGAGGAAAAAAAAAAGTCAACCATTAAAGACTTACTCTTTGTTTTTTCAATCTGTGACCCCAGCAATCTCTTTAGCAAGCCATGGTTCAGTAAACTGGCACACAGCAGTAGTTCTACAGTGGAAAAATCATAAACCAGATGGAAGCTTTACATTTTTGTTTAGTTTTTAAGAGCAGTTTTTATAACATCGCTTAAAATCATTCTGATGCATCATACTGTTTACACTTAAAGCTTTGTAGCTAAGATGTTTACACTATAGAGAATGTTTTAAGATATTTTATAGTTATGATATTTAGATAATTGGCAAGAAAAAAGATAGTTTGTTGAGATTACAGTGATGTTGGTAACCGTGAAGTAACTTATGAGTCTCAATAAATATGTCCAGTTCGGTGGAAAGTACAAACTCAGTTAAAACAAAACAACACAAGAGGGAATATCTTTTTAGTGAAATCATTTCCTTTTCTTAATCAAAAGATGACAGCCCCAGCCTTAGAACTCCCATCTGTAATGCACTACTCCACGTATGTGCATACATGGCTTTTCTTTTTATGACTGATACAGTTGTATCAAATCAGTCAATTAATATTCTGTCTAAGTTCAGTCAAATTATACACAAAAGTTAATAACGTTCACTCTCCATGCAAAAGTTGCAATGATCTAAACTGAATCCTGATCATTTTCTCTTAATACCCCATTTTCAAGATAAATACAGTTAGACATTTTCATGCCGAAGAATATCTTCAGAGCATAGCTTTGGAACATTAAAAAAAAAAATGTCCCCCAAAATGCATTAATCAAAAACAGTAACTCCTTTTAACTTTTGTAGCTGCTCAGAAGAGAAGTATGTAATAGTCTGTGTGTGGGCCACAAATGTTGGGAATGCAAACATTTCACAATAAACATGTTTAAAAGAAAGTACTTGGCTAGATATACTGGAAGATAGTACATGTTGGGTTAATTAATGCATATTCCATAAAAATAAACCTCACTTTCAAGATCTGACCAATAAAAATTAGTATATTTGGATCAGATGTGCTGATGATTTTTATGTATACATTAAAGTTTTGTAAAGTGAATTGTCCTTGAAAAACCTAGAAAGAGATTTCAATTTAAAGTCAAAACAACCCATTACATCTACTCTTTCTCTTTTCCTGTAGTGATATGATGAATTATTTCAGTTTTATCTTCTATACCTGCAATTGATTTACTATTGATGGGTTTAAATTTATCATTTTAAATGTGCAAATCACAGCTACATAGCTAGAAACTGTACACTTTTGCAGCAATTGTTTGCCTGTAGAATGCGGTATCTGATTCTAGACATAATCAAATTACTATACCACATTATTTTTCTTCAAAAAACTTCCAGATCTTAAATTGAATCATTTTAGTACATGCATAAAATAGTATTTTACATTAAAAATCTTATCATAGCCCTAGGGAAATCATACATATAAACAAATATGTGAACTGGTTTTGCATTGTATTATGCTGTTGAGCCAGTTAGAAATAGAAGCAAACTGGGACTGTCTTTCCTGCTGAATACTCTATTTCTCCAAACCTGTTGTCACGAAAGACAAGGGGGTGAACAGATGTCAGAGTCCAACCTTGGTAATTTACCTAATCTGTGGTTGCTTTGTGGGAAAGCCCCACTCTACACCCTTAGCGTCTGTATCTGTAGAAGCAGAATTAACTAGAACTGACCCAGGGACTATTTTCTAAAAGCAAGATGAACATATTTCACTTTTAGACCCGTGTCTGTAAAATACACAAAGTAAGATGTTTGACAGGTCAAGCCTCAAAACCAAACATAATATAAACAAAAAATTAATTCACACTCAAAATAGAACTGAAACCCTTCCCCTGTGGTTATTAGCAGCAGCATTTTTTATTAACAGCAGCAGTAGGTATAAGAACATCTATGCAGAAGAATCTTCATAGCTCTATAGTCATATTGACTTCATTAAAGATCAGAGACCTGATGTTGTCATCTTATCTTTTCTGTAGCATTCATAAAGTCACTAGTTTTGTACACGAGAAGAAACCACCTTTGGTCGAAGCCTTCATATAACATTATCCCAATACTGCACTGTATAAAGCTTTAGAAGTGCTGCATTTTAACTTATCCACTAGTTACCTAGTTTGTTGTGAGCATTATAGAGGATTTAGAGATGAGGGTGATAATCCTTTGTTCAAATTGGGTAGGTTTTTGTGGAAAGTAGGTGGCACAGAAGATGGCTGCAGAAGTAAAGACTGATGAAGCTAACGGAGGGAGTAAAAATGGCTGTCTAATGAGCAGACAAGTAAGGAAAGGATCTGAGAATGTGCTAGCAGACAAAGGCAAGAAAGCCTGAAAAAGCCACAGCTGAATAGGGAAGAACTGGTAAGAAATGTGAGTTGACAAGCTTCTGGTACTGACAGGAAACATGATCTGCACAGCTGTATCTCTGACTAACTCGAAACTAGCAGAACATTCTTTAGATAATTACATCTACCGAACTCCTTTTTAAAGAAAGAATAAATATTTTACCAAAACGAAGGGGAAAAAAAAAGGCATAGAGCTGTTTTAGTAAACTACTAGAAAACTATTTTGAAGCCTGCAACTTAGAAGGCAGTGGCTTCTCATGCCTAGAAATTCAATTTTAGGAAGGGAGGTGAGGTAGGCAAATAGTAGGCAGGAGGCCACAGCTTGTGAAGATTACACCTAGGTAGACTATGCACTTCCAATTCACAACTAATCAATAGGGCACAGAGGAAAAAGGCATCTTCCAGCCAGATTACAGCAGCAAAAGAGAATGTATGAACTGTTCTTTGGGCTGCCTGGTTTTATGCAGAATTCTTTTGTAGAGATGACGGAGCTCGAGCCTCACTCTTGCTGCAATTGGCCTAGCTATCCAAGACAAAGTTTAAGCACGTTAACTTGGGTACATCTGATAAATGTGATACCCTGGAAGTCAGCATATGACATTTATTCTTGCGAGATCTATAAAGCTGTACAGCATTGCTACAACTGCCTTAGCCAGCTACTTATTTCAAAGCAGTCGTGGTACTCTTGGTGGAGTATCTAGTTAAAAGCAATTGTGAAGTCTCTGTTGGCACAGATTAGTCTCAGGATTTAGGACTAGCAAAGTGACTTAAGCACTAAATCCCTGCCTTTCCCCTCTAGCCTTGTATCAAGCTGAGCT